CCAATTCAACTGTAATTTAACAAAAGCCATTATTAGAAAATTGAACTAGTAAAAAATAAAAGTATTAAGCAAACGTAACTCAACTTTTGCTTTTGTGAAAAGACTACCCAAGAAGGGTATGCTTCAGGGGGTAAAAGTTTTCTTGAATCTTGGACTGTCATCCTGGCAAATGCTGTTATGGATTTTGCCTATAAAAAAGAATATATATATATATATATATATAAATAGAAAAATACGAAATTTCAATTGAAATATAATGAGAAAAGAAAAGAATTACCAAATCAATGCGAACTTTGGATCTGTTATTTTGAAAGCGAGCAAAACAAACAATGAGACCAACACCCAATGCCGCACCTAGGAAAAACCCCATGAAGAAACCCATGTTTATGTGAAAACAAATTTGATATATATATTTAGAACAAGTGTAGATTCTTTTTGAAAGAAACAAGTTTTTTTTTTGTTCGAGAAAATGTTGGCAGTTATGAGAGGAAGGAAGGAAGGAAGGAAACCGCGGGACCAGGCGGAGAGAGGGAGGGAGAGTAACAAAATTTTGATTCGGAAGTTGAGGCGCTCTCTTAAAGCTCTTTATGCTACCACGTGTCACCTAATTTTATTGAAATGATTCAAGTTTTTAAGTATGTAATTTTTTCCCTCACTTCATGTTGTTTCTTCTTCTTCTTCAATACTACTACTCGATTCTTAATGTGATACAATTTTGTGTTTCTAGAATAATAGGGGAAAATGAAATAATAAGAAAGTAAAAAAACAAAATGAAAAATAAAAATTGATTCTTTATTTGCTCCTTTAGTTTTTCTGACTTTGATACTTTCTTCGTTGATTATAATTTTAAGTAAGAAATTATTACTATTTATTTACTTATTTTTCTTTGCTTTGGTGGGTGATTATTGCTGATTAGATAAATTCTCAAAGAATAGAATTGACATAAATACGTTTGATGGTGTTTCTTTTCATTACATAAATGATCATTAAAATTAATAATAAAGACTTGGATTTTCTAAACTAAAAAAAGTTGGGTAATAAAGGAATGTAGTTAAGAAATGACTTTTGCATTAATATGAGGGGAAATAAGAACAATGTGAAAAAAAAAATGAATCTTTAGCTATAAAGAGATGTCATATCACTTTTCTTTTGTCTTGTTTTTATATTTAGATAGATTAGAGATTATTTTTTTCAAAAAGTATTAATATTTTTTCTCTTTATAGTAATTATTTTTCTAATAAAATTGTGTCAAGTGCGGATAATTTTACAAATTAATAATAGTAGTATCTCGTTATTATTTAATATAATATTCTTACATGTTACGGATAATCTCCCACACAGAGCATATATATTTTTTATAAAAAAAATTAAAAATCATGTGTCTTTTTTGTTAAAAAAATATAAATTTACAGATCAAATTTTATTTTAAAAAATTGTTTCATTAAAGCCACAAACATGAAATTGAAATCTTACTTTTAAGAGAATTTGAGATTTAAAATCACGATTTGAAATTTATTTAAATTTTATAAACACATGCTAATGTCAAATCAAAATTTTGGATGTGAGCTCAAAATTGCATGGCCAAATACCTACTTTTAGTAGTAACAAGTAAATTTATCCCAGCTTCGTGTAAAATGAAAAGACTTTATTTATATGCAAAATAAATTTTTAAAATATTAAAAATATTTTATAATTTATTTTGATATACAATTCATATAATGTGTGGTATTATTAACACTTCATTTAACATTAATATTAACTAGCGTGTCTGCGTGATGCACAGTATTATTTTTAATTGTTTTAGATTGAAATGTTTGATCAAGTACCGTATGTTAAAAATGGCAAAACACGTCCTCCCTTTTTACTTAGTGGCAACTGATAACCCATTTTTGTTTTTATAAGGAAAAAGGTATAAATACCCCTAGACTATGATCAAAATTTTAAAGATATACATTAATTAAATTAAGGTCTTATTATTTTCTGAATCCATTTCTTTTGTAATTTTGTACACCTTTTTGGCTTACGTGGCATCCAAATATCTCTCACGCATCTTAATTGTGTGGAGTTACAGAGTGTACGTAAGTCAAAAGGTGTATAAAATTACAAAAAAATGAATTCAGAGAAATAATAGGACCTTAATTTAGTAAAGATATATTTTTGAAATTTCGATCATAATTTAAGAGATACTTGTGTCTTATCCCTTTTTATAACAAAAATGATTTTTTTAAATTAAAATTTGCATATTGTAGCCCCACGTTATTTTTTAGGAAGTTATTTTTATTTAAATTAATTAATTTTAAGTTGGTGGCAGCATGTTGCCATTTTTATTGGGAAGTGTATTTTTGTTCTTCTTTTTTTCCTCTTTTCTCATATGCACGTTTACTTTTGATTGGTGAATAGTTATTCATAATGTAAACATTTATACTCCTTTTGTCTAATAATATTTGTCCACTATTAAATTTACACATTTCTTAAGGAACTATAAATAGAAGAGTAATTTTACTATATCACCATTTGAATATAATAAATACAATGTCTTGAAAAATGTAAAGAGAAATGACTATAATTAATTATAAGGGTAAATCAGGAACTAAATGTAAAATTATTCATTGATTTCATAAAATGGACGAGTATTGTTGGACATCCCAAAATAATTTAGTGGACAACTATTGTTAAACGGAGGGAGTATCATTCTTCATCAATTCTTTTAAACAAAAGTTGATGTTATATCTTCTCCAGTAACTTTACATGCATTCTTTAAGAATAGTCCTCTTTTTTTCTTCACTTTAAATTATTGATAGTATATTGATTTCTAGTCGTGAATTTCTCTATTTGTGAGCCTATGTGGCTATGTTTAATCCCTTTTTATTTTGTTGTTAAATTTTTTTCTTGGATTTTTAATTTTTCAAGTTGAAGGTTTATATATTTAGGTGAAAATTTAGGAGATAGTAATTGATTTTGGATATGGTTAAGAAAAATATTTTTAGGATTATTCCTAAAAAAGGAGATTCTGATTCTGATTTTGTTGATTCTCCATCCAAAATTTTAAATTTTAGCCATGCAAGTTCTTCGCGATATCCGATTCGTAGTATAAATCATTTTAAAGGTAAACAATGTGAATAAGTTGGTGTTGTTTATAAGAAAACATTAAGAAAAAAAAGAAGAATAAAAGAGTTATTTCAATTGAGGTTGCTAGAAGGTAAAGATTATAGAAAGTGATGATGAGGATGACGATGATGGTAGTTCTAAGGAAGAAAAGGCTCTGGTTTGTAATCGAAAGGAGACTGCCAAAGAAACTGTAAGAAAAAAGAAAAATGCTAAAATTGGTAAGGCAGTTCGAAGCCAAAAAGTTGTTAAAAGTGAGGTCGAAGATGAAGATGAAGGGAATTCGTTTGATGAAAAGGTTGTGGTTGATAATCACGTTTTGAAGGTATTTTTGTGTTCATTATTATATTGAATTTTTTTTTGGTCATGATTCATGAATAACCTTGGAGGTCTTTGTACATAGCTTTATTTGTAAGTTAGACCCTTGTACTCATGGTTTTACCAATTGAACCCTTAAACTCATTAAAACACAATATTTTAAATTCCTTTCTCCTCCGATGTGTGTTTGTGCAGTACACACATTTACACATGGAATTTCAATTGACACTTGAAATTAAATGTTAAAAAAAAGTGAGAACCAAGTTCATGTCAAATAGGTAGAATTCTTACCTATTTAACTTGAATTGCACACTATAGGTTCACAAAAACACAACAAATCTTCGTCACAAATTTGAATTAAATCATATATTTACAAAATTCATTTATTGTTCTTCAAACTTCCTCGAGCTTATCAATGAAGTTTTTTCAATTTTTCAATACTCACTATTTTGAGAAAGCATTTGGGGGTCATTACATAAAGACGAAGAAGATGATGACAAATATGAAGATGTCGAACATGAAGAAGAAGAAGAAGATGTAAGGGGGCGGGGTATGGTGGGTGGAACCAAAGAAGAAAAGGAGAGGAATGGGAAGAAGAAATTTGGTTGTGGGGGGATAAAGGCTGGGAAAGTGGGAAGAAGCTAATATTATACTCACTCATATTAAAACGCGTGGAATCACAAAATATTTTAACTCAACAATATTAATGTCACATGTGTTTGGTCAATGGTCAGAAGTATTGTGTTTCAGTGAGTTTAAAGGTTCAGTTGGCAAAATCGTAAGTATAATAGTCCAAATTACAAACGAAATGATCATTCCACCAAAATAATTAAGCATTCACTTTAAAGCATGCCTTGCAGATCATTCCACCAAAATAGTTAAGCATTCACTTTAAAGCATGGCAAAAAAAAATCATATTTATGCGATTTACTTTCCTTTTTAGTCAGTCCAAAAAGAATAACGCATTTCTATATTAAGTACTCCCTTTGTCCCAATTTATGTGACTTACTTTCCTTTTTAATCTGTCCAACAAAGAATGACACATTTCTATATTAAGTAACAAATTAACTATAAAATATCTATTTTACCCTTAATGAAATGATTTACAACCACACAAATTTATATCATTCATTTTGGACTACAAGTTTTAAAAGTCTTCCTTTCTTTCTTAAACTCCGTGCCGAATTAAACTACTTCAAATAAAATGGGACGCAAGGAGTAACAATTTAACTTTAAAATGTCTATTTTACCCTTAATAAAATGATTTATAGTCACAAATTTCTATCATTCATTTTGAACCACAGGTTTTAAAAGTCTTTTTCTTTCTTAAACTTCGTGTCGAGTCAAACTACCTCACATAAAATGAGACTGAAGGAATATTAATTACATCTAGTTCTCGTTTATAGGTAGGATGAGACCACGTAGAAAAACATGCAGTTTTCTAACACTTACGATGATGATGTTAAAAAACGCAATGGTACGAGTTGGATGATGAAGATCAGTACTGAATTGAACGGACATAATATAATTTTAGCACTCAATATTTATTTACACTAGATGGATTTTTAAAAAAATGATAACTTTGATAAAAAAGAATAATCAAAACGGGCAAGGCATTTGGAGATCAAAAGTGGGACAACAATTTAAATATCATTTGCAGTCACATAACTCTAGTATAATGGCCATCTTTCTTTCGTCTTTCCACCAAATGTCATAGTCCCATAAGTTTCGAAATCCGGTCTGCTATATTAGCTATAACAAATCCTGCAAATACCTGCAATCAACCAAGCCCAGAAATCAGAATCATGTTTTCCTGTGGATCAATTGATTAGTAATACATCCTTAAATATAGAAAGAAAATGAGTCAACTAGTCATTCAAGCGTTGGGAGGAAGTAATTATAAAAGAGAGATTCCAACTACGATATGGACAAGTTACTTTGTTTTTTATATCTTCCTGCTCCAGCTATAACAGGTAACGGCATTTTGGCTTTTCAATAAAACACAATCACACGATACAACTCGAAACTTCAGTGCTGCAAACAAGTTTTCTCTTCAGCATTAATGTTGTTACCTGTGCTGAGCCAAGAATGTATATAGCAGAATAATGACGTCCATGAATCACCATGTCAGCCACCATTGCAAGTGGAATTGTGAGAGACATGCCGAGAGTTGCAACTAATGGAGTTGTCCAAACAACACACAGTGCCCTAAAGAGGAGGGAAGCAAGTTATGGGTACAGTTGATAACGCAGAGGTGAAGAGTATGTATGGGTGGTGGATAACTCATCTTTCATACCAAAAGTAATCCGAGAGAACACTTCCTACAAGTCCATTAGCTAAAACAACTTCATCCAATTTAGCAGAATGAGGTATTGTGAACTTGGGTTCAATCCCTAGCGCAGTCAATGGCCATACTGGACAAAAAAAATTCAAATGAAGTAGTTTATAAAGACATTAGAACTCAATAATATAAAGAAGAATATCATTTGTTAATAATAATAATTTTCATATTGTGAATACATAGCTTTCTCTAATAAGATATTAAGAAGATGCATAATCGCACAATTGTATTCTTTATGAATGTAGTGGGGAAACTAATTATCAGGTCATTGATCCTACATGTCATCCGACATCTACTATTATGTATATACAACTTTAAGCAAGTAGGACACAAATAAAAAGGAGCAACTTTTAAGACATTAAGATCACCCCCGCCAGTGATAACTGAATCGTCAACTTAAAGTCTAAAACGACCAAGTAAATCCATAGATCTAGAGAAGAATGGTGAAAGAACACATAATGATCAACTTCTATGAGTCATTCCAAACTCCTGAATAACTGTTTTGAACTTAACAAACCAGGCTCGTGGAGACTGTTTCAAACCATGGAATGACTGACGCAATAAAAAAACAAGACCACTGGACTCTCCTGGAACAACAAGCCTAGTGGTTGGTCCATATAAATTTTGCTAACAATAGGACCTTGGCCTAACCCCAAAAGCTGCTAGCTTCATGCTATGAAGATTGCCCAAAACCATATAAGGACCCATTCTGATGCACAACTAATGTGGGACCCCTCCCCTCACGCTTAGGACAAGACATGTGAAACGTGGATAATATTACATGGAGGCTCAGCATCGTATAAACCAAGAATTGGAATGGTTCTTGCTCTGATACCACATGAGAAAATAAGACATGGAAACATTGAGTGATAACTTAAAGTGGTGAAATAGGAAAGGATCAATCCAGTAAATTCTAACTAATCCTAGTTGACGTACAATATCATTTAGATTTCTTAACAAGCTACATCTGATATTTTGATACACTGAATATAATTTGTTAAAGAACTAATTTCCAAGTGAATGACATCAACAAACAAGAGACCAAAAGAGTGACATCCACTGCAATGAAGCCTGACCCTCTTTTGTGACCATGAGTCTTGCCTGATGCTGGCAACTGGAAAGTGAGGCCAAGGTTATTCTATTCTTGTACCCTAGCAAACCATCACTTATATGTAAACATCAATAATTTTCCATATCATGTCATATTTTATAGTGCTACAGAATAGCGTTAGATTTAGAAAAAAATTCCCAACCTCAAATGTGTAAATAGGAGGACTGGTGAGCCCCCCAGTTACTAATAGCAAGTAAAAGGTGACCAAGCTAAGTTGGAGCCAAACTGACCAACATCGCATATTTATTATATAAGGGAAAGAGTCCAAATACGCCATCAAACTTTGAGAAAAAGGCTCATCTATGTCATCCATTAAAAGTTTGGCTCATCTACGCCATTTCTGTTTGAGAGAAGGTTCATCCATGGATTATTTGTTAACGCAAAACAATTCCGGTTTTGCAAAATCATTTTTTACACGTGGTCAATTATGACTCTGCCACAGTAATTAAATCATTTTTAAAAGGGAAAAGGCTCAAATATGCAATCGAACTTTGAGGAAAGGCTCATCTATGCCATCCGTTAAACCGTTAAAAGTTTGGCTCATCTATGCCATTTCAGTTAACAAATAATGGCATGGGTGAGCCTTTTCTCAAGCGGAAATGGCATAGATGAGCCAAAAATTTAACGGATAGCATAGATGAGCCTCTTCTCAAAGTTCGATGGAACATTTTGAGTCTTTTCCCTTTATTAAAACTTTTAAGTACTATAGTGGGGAGTCTAATCTCTTAATCATTGTCAAATATTGTTAGCAATACATACAAGTTACAAAAGGAAAGAATATCCAGCATTTTGATGTCGAGCATCATACATTAAGCAAGTCGACTACAACTAGTCACCATTTAAATGGCAAAACCAATAGGTCAAAAAGAAGTATGGCTACAAACTTATCAATAGCTTTGGAGATAACTTGATCAACAAACTATGAAATTAATCAGCAAATCAACACTGACTTCATAAATTGCATTTGTCTAGATTTACCTACCAAAAGTCCTATATGACACATACTGTCGCCAGAAGATTTCAGGTTGAGTATGAGACTCTGTCCTATATTCTAACCTATCTAAGCATGGCTTGTCTGATAACAAAATGGCTTAAATTATATTTGTCTTTATCAGATTTTCATGAGATTACAGACGGACTATATTGGAGTCTTGTCGTATTGCAACTTTTCTAGTTTACAACCTTAAAGATGTTTTTTTTCCTCAACCTCAAACCTGAACTGGAAAACATGGAGAAAGAACTTATTTTCAGAAGACGGCAACAAAGCATTCCAAAAGTGCAAATGAAAGAGACTGCTTGTTATATATACAAATTAGAACTACTTAACATTAGGGCAAAAGGATCAAATCTTACCAAGCCACCACATGGTCACAAGGGTACACAACCCTATATACCCGAACAATTTTTGCATATCTACTCCTTTTCCTTCCTCACCAGCGACTTTTTTAAGAAGCACTGCAGATCATTAGGAGAAAACATTATCCACCTCATCATATTGTACAGCTAATACTTAGTATCCAGAATAATCCAGAAGAAGCCTAACCAGTGAACAACCCATACGACATTGCTGATAGAAGGCCAAAGAGGTCCCCAAGGAGAGAACGTTCACCACTTCTTTAAAATAAACAAAAAGTTTAACTATCAGTCAACACCCTGAAACACAGTTGAAAGGAACACCAATGAAAACAGCAGAGAATTTAGGATCCAAAGAAAATCGAAGATTGTATATAAAAAAGAAGATGCAGTTTTATGTCGTGATTGGAAATTAAAGGGATAGAAAGGTTGATGTCTCAAGTTCTTTACATCAAGGATAAACATATATATTTGTGCTTGCCATTACTTAGAAGTGGCATATATGAGAATGTCGAGATGGATGTGTGGACATACTAGGCGAGATAGGATTAGGAACAAAGATAGCAGGGACAAGGTGGAGTGGCTTCCGTTGTGTATAACATTAGGGAAGCAAAGCTTAGATGGTTCGGGCATGTGAAGAGGGGATGTCTAGATGTCCTAGTGAGAAGATGTGAGAGATTGGATATGGTGGACCTGAGAAGAGGTAGAAGTAGGCCGAAGAGGTATTGGGGAGAGTGATTAGAAGGGACATGACACATTTGTTTCTTACCATGGACATGACCCTAGATAGAAAGATATGGAGATTGAGGATTAAGGTAGAAGGCTAGTAGGTAGTCGCACGTTGTCTAGTTTTCCTTATTAGTGGTACTAAAATTATTTCTCTCCTACTTTCTTAGACTTCAATTTTACGATTACCTATTGTTTCCTTTCTTTCGATTATCGTATCATTTGTTGTTGTTGCTGAAATTCTCTATTGTATTTCATTTTCCTACTTGTTTGATATGTTTTACTTGAGTGAAGCGTCTATTGAAAACAGTTTGTATACCCTAATAAAGTAGGGGTAAGGTTGCGTACACACCATACCTCCCAGACTATTTCACTGGGTATGTTGTTGTTGCTTGCCATTACTTAGAAACTCTAAGTACCCTATTAGAGTAAGGCATGCGGAACTAAACTGACTCATTCTTGTCTCTAGCAGTCAACTAACTAAGAGAAGTCCAGTAATTAGCCTACTTTGCGCTACTTGAGGCTATTCATCAACTCATTTTTGGTTCCTATTCTAAGAGATCCTTGTGGCAGACGGCAGTGAAGATTGCTTTCAATGATCAAGGAAAAAGTGAAAAACAATGCCAATTTTCTAACACTCTTGATAGTTAAAAAATACAATGGAAATCCCTAATTTTCTTCCAATCCGTATCAGCAAACGTAGTATATGGAGTAAAACTAGGTATCGACAGGTGGACCCAAAATGAATTCAACACGGGGAAAATATCAGCTTGTGCAGAGAATGGATACGGGATAAGCATTTCCCCGAGAATAGCGATGATAGCTCTAGTATCGATAATGCTGGAAGCACCCGACTGAGGACATGACAATTGGGAAAAGAAGGATTGCGCGGCTGAGTATTTTTTCCCACACCTTTTACTAGCTCTCCTCCCCGGATTTAGCTCACCATCACACCCGAGGTAGCTTGCAACAATCTCCAAGTCGAACAGAAATCCGCGTTGAACCCAAAGTCAAATATTAGGTACGTGACATTATTCAAGTACTGTTCAGAAATACCGTTTTCCCTCGGGTATAAAGTAGCCTTTTTGTATTAGTATCCATAAGTTTATGCCCTATAAATAAACCCTTCCCTGGAGAAGAAAACATCTCATTTTTCATTTGTAATACATATTTTTGCAATCACGTGCTAAGGATTCTCAGATCTCATTCTTTCTTACTCTAATTCTTGCATTTTAACATCCAGATTTCTTATTCTTTATTCAGCTTTATATTCAGTTCATTTACTTGTGTTTCTTTAGCTTAGCCAAAAAAGAGAAGAGGTATGATTGAACCTAATTCACTTGTCTTTAACCCCTATTTCAGAAATTTAACTTCGTTGGCATCCACATGATTCTTTCGGCAACTAATTTGGCAGTGTCTGTGGGGATAGGCCACTGTGATATTATTTTGATCTATTGCTTCTGCTCTTTACTAGGTCATCAATTTTAACCTACTCAGAAGCGTTACAACATCTGGAACTCCTTATAACAGTCTAGCCACCGACGACCGACTCCATAACCCACTCACTGTAGGTTTGCCTTACCATTTAGTTCCGTTAGATGTGTAGGTTGCGGAATGCTCCGAGGAGCATGAACAAGAAAGAGAAGACAATCAGGCTCCTTCGCAAGAAGAGGCCGAGGGCATAAATGCAAGAACATCCATCTGAGCATCCTCATTTTCACTACTTTTATCTTCTGAACACGCGGGTTTTTGACTGGCCAATACTCCGCCCCATATAACAGAGCAAGTCTAATAACCATTCTATAAAACTTTCGTTTTAAGTTTTAGTGCCACCTTCGTATTGCATAAGACACAAGATGTAAGCCTCAATTTCATCCAACCCGCTCCAATACGATGAGTAATCGTCAATCTCCCCATTTCCTTGGATTATTGACCTGAAATACTTGAAACTTCCCTCTTGGGATGAATTTTGTACTCTTCATTACTTCTACATCTTCCTCGTGAGTATCGTTGATGACCTTGAAGGCTTGAACTCCAAGATTCTTTCTTAGCCCGATCAATCTAAACCCTTTACACTCCAGAGTCTGTCTCCAATCCTTCAATTGCCATCAACTCCTCCACGTGTCTCATCAATCAATACTATGTCATCCGCAAAAAACATACACCAAGGAACCTCCCCTTGGATATGTCATGTCAATTCATCCTATCAACAATGCAAATAAAAATGGACTAAGAGTTGATCCCTGATGCAATCTCATCACCATTAGGAAGTGTTCTAAGTCTCCTCGTATGGCCCTTACTAGGTCTTTACTAGGGTCTTGGCTTCTTGATACATGTCCTTCATTCCCCTAACGTATGCAGTCCATCTTTAACCTACAAACATTTCCAAAGAATCCTTCTCGGGACTTTGTCATAAGCTTTTTCTAGGTCAATAAACACCATATACATGTCCCTCATCCTCTTTGTATAATGCTCCACCAATCTCCTTACAAGATGGATGGTTTCTGTAGTTGATTATCCCGATCCAAATTGATTCTCTATAATAGACACACCTCGTTATCCTAAACTCCACTACTCTCTCCCAAACCTACAAAGTGTTTGCTTAGTAGCTTGATACTCCTACAGGTGTTGCAATTCTAGATAGCTCCCTTGTTCTTGTACTACAGGTTCAAGCATTTTTGTTGTACTAAAGATGACATTAAACAACCCGGTTAGCCACTCCATACCAACCTTATATGCACTCTTTCAAAATTTCATGGATATCTCATCGTCTCATCCTACAAATAGCCTCTTTAACCTCCTCGAACTCAATACCCAAAATATTGACAAGTGGTCTAACTCACCTAGCACAATACTCATGTCTCCCTCTTCATTCAAAAGTTTTGTGAAAGTAAGTCTGCCATCTCCGTCTAATGTGTGTCTCCTTTACCAATACATTGTCTTCATAATCTTTGATGCACTTCACTTCGTCCAAGTCTCGGACCCTCCTTTCTATCGCCTTGGCGAGCCTATACAACTTCTTATCCTTGCCTTCATCCTGCAATTCCTTGTACAAACGTTCAAAAGTTTTCGTCTTAGACACTTTAACTACTAACTTTGCTTCCTCATTCACCTCTTTATACCTCTCCAGCCCTCTCTATTGGTCCTCATTTCCTCCTTATTTTTACTCTCCACCCACTCCTTACCGACAACCTTCATGGTGCCACCTTCCCTCGGAGCACTCCATTCCACCATCAATCCCTTCGGCGACCACCATCGTTATCCTTTGAGACCCCGACACCCTCTAGCTACTTCCCTAATGCAATTAGATTACCTATCCCACGTGTTGTTAGCATCCCCAACTCCCCCATTGCTATCAGTTTCTCTCCATGTCTCTTTAGCTCCGGCCGTAGTCAAGTCGGCTTATTTGATCCTCTGTATTTCAAACAAAGTCAACTTCTTCCTCTTCCTCTTCCTCTTAATTACTAAGTCCATTGCCAAGAGCTTATGAGTTGAGAAAGCTCATTTACCTGAATTATTGTTTTTACCCTACGTGTCGATAAACTCCTTTATTGGTCCTTGTGTTTTCCATTTTCCAATGTTATAGATTTAGCCTTGAATTTTCGAATTTCCAGAAGGAACCCTAATAATCCATATCCTAGCAAATCATCAAAAGGAAGATGAAGAAATTGAAATCCTTAAAGTTAATAGGTTTAAGTGTTTCAACTTTCAATATGGAAGGAGAAAGAATACTAAAGCTTTTGATAGAACAGATTTCAAAAGAAAGCTCAGAAAAGGAAGGTGAAAAGGAAACAACAAAGCTTGGAAATAAAAAAAAGAAATGCAATACAAAGAGAGACAAATGAAGGTGTACCATCAGCAACTAAAAATGCATTAAAACAGAAGTTGACCACTCCCCCCCTCCCCGGACCTCTCCAGGCTTTCATTACCTCCACCCCACACTTTCCCTTGCCCATCCTAGTTGCTGTTTCAGTTGACCGCTATTTTCCATATGCCCCACATCTCTCCGTTTCCTGACTTCCCTACACAACAACCCCGCTCCTGACTGTCTCTCGATAGCACCAACTTGTCTCATCCAACCATTGTAAGAATTCTTTTTCCCTCCTCCCTGTAGATCTGTGCAGACTTGCAGGCATAACAACACCACTTGTGGCCAATCTCTTGCCCAAATGGTACCTCTCTGTCTCCAACTCCTCTACCGTATGAATCCATCCCACTTTAAGCCACAGCCAACCTACCTTACACAGTATACCCTTCTACGCCACCACCCACCGCATCCCATGGATTCCGCTGTACCAATTCCTACTAACATAGAAATTGGCACTACAAAAGCCCAAAGTACAAGAAACATTGATATTACTACAGTTAGTGGAGTTACCAAAACAGCTAAAGGACAATAAAGAGCTGAGATGCATGGTTCATGGGAATGCTATGTTAGGAATATGAGCTGTTTTCTAATCTCACATACATTTATCAGTCGCCTATGACCAATTCATAGCAAATCTAGTTCATTCTATTGTACTTCGTAATTGAACTATCGATTCTAACTTTGCCACCTAAAACTGGAAGTGTTTGTGTCACATATTAGACAGAATCACAGAGAAAAACAAATGCAGCAAAACAAGTATAATATGTAAATTATTTAGAATAGATAACTAGGCGTCAAAAGAAATTCAATTATAAGTTTTTACACCAAATGTAACTTCAACCAGAAACTAACAGACTTATATTGAACTCAATAAAACCTAGGTGCGATAGAAATTCATTTAAAGCAGTTCCAGTCAAGTCAATACAGTGCAGGAATTCTTACGAGGAAGAATTCAACTGAGATTCATCAGTCGCCCATGTTTTTCCTAGAGTGGTCATGACAACGCCAGACATGCTAACAAAGACTGCAACTACTTTGGCCATATTTAAGGAATCTTCACCAAGTATTACACCAACAAAAAGAGTGAATAATCCCGATGTAGAAGATAGTACTGTTGTGCTTGCAACACTTGTATGCTCAAGTGCTGCATTTGACAGGTACTGCAGAAAAAACAAAAGACAAAAATAAGCTCAAACAATTGAGTTTTCTAGCAAGCAGTTTCTCTTTTCTCCTCTTTTTCCTTCCGGTTCACCTGGGAGGGTTCTCCTTGGGGAAGGCAACAAACTACAAGCATAACTAAAGTTGACTTCCATACCTCAGTTATAAACCAGAGAGGAGCAAGAAAGAATCCATAACGAGCAATTTGCCAGGTCGTCATCTCTTTTCCATTTTTTAGATCGTCAGAATTACCATTGCATTTAGCAACAAGAGGTTTTCCTTCTCCCTCGGCTGAAATATTTTCTTCGCTGTCTTTTCCATCCATTGATTTCTGGATTTCTATCTCAAAGACTTTCTGTACTGTATGCTTTAAAGGAGAACTATGTCTCATATATGATTCATTGCCAGTATTTTTATCAGTTCTACTAGGGCGTCTCTTCAGAAAATTGCATATCCAATCCTTAAGAAATGCTACAGGGAGATAAATTACCAGCAAAGAAGCCCCAAGGTATGTGATTGCAAATGGCTGCTTATATTCGGAGAAAATGCCCTGCCATGGTACATACACAATGAAAAAATTCAATTCACAGTATAGCAAGTTGCATCATGTTCACCCATGCAAATTTAAATTCAGTAATTCAACGCATTTAGTATTATGCAGGAACATTTTTTGTCATAGTGCTACAAAGAATTACAACCCCCTATAGGACCCAATAAGTAGTTTCTAGCTATCTTACTCGGACCGTCCAAAAATGTTGTTGCACCCCTATCGAATCCTTGAAAAATGCATAGATTTTGGAGGATCCGACACACACCCGGCAGTATGATTGGAGAGTCCGAGAACCATAGGTTTCTAGAGATTAAAAGGTCTTATGAAGTACTGAACTTAATATCTCTATAGTTGATGCGTCTTCTACAATAATTACTTGCATGCACATGAAAACACGTGCATTTGTTTACAACATACAAATTAGTCCATGACCCTTCCTAATTTGTATTTGACCTTTGAGAAGCAAAAATGGGCAATAAAATGGGGAGTAGGGAGTTTATTTCTTGTGCAATGCGACTAATGTGTGTTTATATAACATAAAAACACTTGGGATCAGGAGTAGTGGGACCTAGCCAAAGATGTGAGATACAGTGACAGTGAAAGTTCTGCCAATAGGCTATGAAGACAATTTGCCTGAGAACTTGAATATGAAAACATAGCTTTCAAGGCAGTAAATATAAAGTAAAACACTAAGGGTGGGGATAAATAGGAACATCAATGCTTCAAGACTCATAGATGGGTAATTCAAATTAAGAGTCTTAGTATCCAAGTTCGTTTCAAGTTTGTAACATTCTTAGATATCTGTCAAAGCATCATCGTGGTCACAGATATAAGAAAGAGATGATTCCCAGCTAATAGTCAGAAATGTTGTCATGAGCTATCAAGGACATGAACCGTAAAACGCATTAAGATTTGAATAAAGAAAATCATCTCATATGAACCACTTGACAACTAGTTGAACACCATATCCTCTTTCATCATAATACAAAGTGCCAAATACTGAGCAAAGTACCTTAGGTACATGACTAAGCAAGTCTTGTGCATTTTTGAATAAATTATGAATGTAACCAACAGTCCTGTCCCCTTCCCCGGAAGAAATGATAGATGAAACTGGATCAGAAGAAGAAAAGGAGTATCCTAAGTGCCCGTTTGGATTGACTTAGGTGCTTTTAAGCCAAAATAGCTTTTAAGCAGTTTTGAAGTGTTTGAGTAAAGTTAAAAAGTGCTTATAAGCACTTATTTTAAAGCCAAATAACAAAAATAAGCCAAAAGCCATAAGTTAGAAATCCTAATTTATGGCTTTTGGCTTATAAGTCATAAGCCAAAAGCCAATCCAAAATCATGTCAGAATGACCCAACATAAGCTTGTTACTTCAGGTTAACATAAAAAATAAGACTAAAGTTACTGTACACTTAATTGATGTTCTTATTTCTTTTATGTAAAGCAATGGATGATGTATGCAAGCAAGGAAACTTGCTATCATATTTCTAGCTACAAGGCAATCCGCACGAAATTGTAGGCACACAGAACAAACATTATGTCAATAAGACAGTAACCATCCACATTATAACATGTTCATACAAAAGTCAACTATTCTGCATTGTCTTCCTATCTGATTGAGAGATACAAATCTTAACATTAAGAGATATCAAAATAACGATTATGCAGCAAACACAAACTAGTTGGAATCAACTATATGAATCCTCAACATCCATTTGGAGTGTTCATTTTAAAATTGACTATTTTTAACAATAAATAGCATTATGGGAAGATTAACCAAAAAAAATTTTAAAAAAATGGTCAAAGGCTATCACTTTTTTGTAATTTGCTATTAAATTGGAATATAGCTGAATATGGAACATACAGAGAAATTGATAAAGAAAGAAAATTAGACCTGGGTAACTTCAGCAGAGGTGACCCAAATAACAACAACAGCTGAAATAAGGCAGAGACCTGCCTTGTATTTCCATGCCATAGCAAAAGAGAAGAGAAGTCAAAGCCCAGATGGGTATTCTGAAGAATCACAGAAAAACAAACAAAGATCTGAACTTTGTTGGTTTTTCTGATTGATGAAATTTTCAACTTGTCACCAAACGTAAAGAAAACTGCAAGAACTCAAATCTGACCCACAGGTTAAATAGTTTGGTTTGGATTGTTAGGTGTATGAATTAATTATTATAATTGAATGCTGCGTTACTACGCTTTTAGGAAAAAGATGGTATAAAGGGCAATAATGGTGGGAAAATTGTTAAGAAGACAAATTTCTCTGGCAATACACTCCTAACTATTAGTTGGAAGGGTCATGCTCATTTCTTTCTATTTCTGCTTGTCGGTCAGCCGGCTGGATCTCAATATTCCGTTTCTCTACGGCAAAACTATATAAATTGACCATAAAATATAAAATAATTATAATTTTATAATCTAATTCAGCAAATATTTACTTTTACTGACCTAAAATAAATTACAGTTCGTACCCATTTAGTTTAGTTCAAATTTCTCTTCATTCCCCATTAAATTTGGGAAATTTCGTCCTAGCCTTTTAAAATTTAGGTCTAATTCTCCTAAATCCAAAACTTTTGTCCTATTTTTTTTTGTTAGTTTATCTTCTTTTTATTTTTTTTTGTCTCTTTTTGCATTTTAATCTTTTGAAGAAAATAAAATAAATTACTTTTGTTCTTTTTTATTTATTATTTTATTTTTCTGTAATTTTTTTTTCATATTATCATTTATTAGAGATAACATTTACTAGCAATTTTATTATTTCTTTCTTTATCTTTTTTTCATTTTATACTTTATTAGAGATATCATTTGTTAATATTTCTATTATATATACTGAGTTTGTATTCGTTAGGCGAAATTATCAGCCTTACTGATATCAATACTATATATATATATATATATATATATATATACTGATTTAGTATCAGTTAAATAAAATTATCACTTGGGGCATCTATTGTAATTGTTTAGGGGGGCATCAATGTAAGGGGTATATATTTGTAATTAATTTATATTTATGGGGCATTTTTTTAGTTTCCCCTTCTTTTTACAGCTTTATATATATATATATATATATGAAACTGAGGGAATAGTGTTTAATTAAATTTATGATCATTCTTAATTTTGAATTACTGCTTTTAGTTTGAATTAAAAATATTTTTCTCTATCTCCAAGAAATTATAAGGATTTAGCTTTGTCAACTTAATATTTGTGGCTATGAAATTTGACAAATTCTTTGATAGTCACGAAATTTGAATTGTTATGAGTATTACTAAATAATAGCTACAATTTTCAAATTGATAGCTTAGATTTGGTAGCAATAAGTATGTTTTCTTGTAGCGATTATACATTAAAGGTAATCTTAACAAATTTGGTGTACGATTGTTGATCAAACTTGTTGCTTGTGTAATAAGTATGTATGCCTAGAGTGATGAACATCTATCATTTGCTTGTTCTTTCTTAGAATAAGTGTGGATGAATATGCTTGGTTGTCGGGTGGTGAGAAATCGAGGAGGTAACTCTTCCTATGCTTAGGGGCGTATCTAGAGGGGGTGCCGTGGGTTCACGTGAACCCATGTTCCCCTATCTAGATCATATACAGTAGAGTTATATTTCTTAAAATATATATATATATATATATATATATATATATAGATGTGTGAACCCACGTTCAAAGTATCATATAATAATGTCATGATGATTGGGTGCACCTCTCTAAGTGAGGATAGATATTTAAATCTTATATATATGTTGTCTTTTTGAGTGACACCTCGCCAAGTGGTTATCGGTTACACGTTTTGTCACGACCTAGACCATAGTGATTGGCACCCACACTAACTTTTCGGTGGGAGAACCACTACTACAACCCAAACCAAACAACTAAACCAAAACTAAGGCATTTAAGTTACAAAAACAAGTTAAATACTAAGGAAATAAATAGAGTTCTCATAAACTCTAACAAAAAGTCTAACAATAATATACTAACAATGCGGAAGTAATGCCTAAAACCTGAAACTCAATGTACCAAAACATCTAACAATGAACCAAGTCTAACCAAGAAGGGATACAACCCCAACTAATGTTCTAATAACTAATAGAACTATCTAAGTCCGAAATGTGGACATAGACGAAAGGAGAACTCATGGCAGCCCGGAAGAATTGGCTCACCCTTGAATTCGAACGACGATCACTGATCCCCTAAGCGAGGTCTGTCACTAGTCGTTTGAAGATGCCCTGTACACAATAAAAATAAGAGCAAGTGCAGTATCAGTACACAACCACAGTGTATTGTTAGAATCACGCGTCTATCCCACTATATGCAACATACATTAGTCAATACAACAATATAATCACATGCACATATCGAACATATACAATACTATAAACACTTACTAACAACGAACAACTTCACATTTCTCAAGATACATAATTATATCAAATCATTAGTCCTCTCATGGAATCCAAACCCAAATAGTTAGCATACTGGAACGTGGTACCCGATCCAATGATTATGTCGGGACGTGGCAACCGATCTCATAATTATGCTGAAACGTGGCAACCGATCCAAGTTAATTATGCCGGAACGTGGCAACCGATGCATTCAACACACCACAATCACAATCGTAAGTATATCCTCAAGATCATACAATTAAGTCATGATTTCATGGTAACCATCATTCATCTATCTCATTTATAACAAGTGTGATCAATAATGCAACATTCATATACATACATGTATCATAATGAAGCAAGAACAAACATATATCACATAATCATAGAATCACAACCATCACCTACCTCGAAATAAGCTTGAAACCCTAAGAAACTTGATCCTTCCCTTTTCGGATTCGTTCCGCTTGTTTTTGGTCTACAAACAATCAATATAATACGGAAATCAATAAACAATCACTAATTACCTGGATTACTAATAATTCTATGAACCCTAGACCATACCTATGATCCCAAGTATTCAAAAGAGGGTTGTTTCCACCATACCCTTCCCTATCGATAATTATCCATTCTATTACGTTCTACGGATCGAAAAATGGATTCGGGGAGTGAAAAACTTACATTTAGCCTCAAGAACGGTGGAAACCTGTTAAAAGTCGCCTAGGGTTCGTTCTTTAGCTCTAAAAATCGAAAAGTGCAAAATAAGGTCGTCTAGAGGTTTATTTACGACTTTAATTCGCATGTGGCCCGCCATAGCGGCCCTCACCCCGCTGCAGTGGCCACGTCAGAGCGCCAAAGCAGCTTAAACGAAACGGTAAGCTATTTAAAGAATTCCAAAATCCCCATTTCACAACGCACCTCTAACCAACGACGCTCAGAAAATACCCTTCATGTTAAGATCAATTCTGGGAGTTCTACTCGCCCGAATTTAATTTTGTAAAGTCGTACGGGTTCCTTAACGACTTATCTAACTACTCATGTAATCAAAATTATAAATGAGTCACCTGATTGTTACCATATTTCCCTACACCTCAATGACTTCGATTTCGTCCAAATCTGGACTAGGTTGGGAAAATCTAAATACTTCGAAAAAGTTTTTCGACCCAAAAAATTTTCCCGTTGGCATTTCTATAACGATGAAAATAGGTCGTTACAATAGATATCAGTTTACCCATCACTCGTCCTCGAGTGACAAACTTAGGAAAAAATGGCTAAGGAAATAACAAAGTAGTACCTGTATTGACGAGTAATTGGGGATACTTGTCTTGCATGTCCCTCTCGATTTCCCAAATAGCTTCCTCAACTGGACGATATGTCCTTGGTTCTCAACTTGCGCACATCACGATCAAGAATTGCCACCGATTCCTCTTCATATTGGAGGTCCTTGTCTAACATAATTAAGTCCCATTTAATGATATAATCTCCGTTACCATGATACCTCTTCAACATGGACACATGAAATATAAGATCAACACCGATAGATTAGGAGGCAAAGCCAATCTATACGCTACCGGCCTACACATTCAAGAACCTCAAAGGGACCGATATATCTAACACTTAGCTTACCTTTCTTACCAAATCTCATCGCCGCTTTCATGGGTGATACCTTAAGAAGATCATTTTCACCGGTTTGAAACACCATGTCTCTTACCTTATGATCTGCATACTTCTTTTGTCTACTCTGGGCTGCTAAAAGCTTAGCTTGAATACTCTTTACTTTATCTTGAGCATCCCTTACTAAATCAACCCCCAAAGGCTTCACATCCCCAGCCTCAAACCATCTTATGGGTGATCTATATCCCTTCCCATAGAGTGCCTCAAATGGTAGGAACTTATCCCAATGTCTTCCAAAGTCGATCACACATGCCCTTAACATGTCTTCTAATACTTGAATAGTCCTCTCTAACTGTCCGTCTGTCTGTGGATGGAAGGTTGTACAAAAAGTGAGTTATGTGCCCAATTTATCATGTAATTTCCTCCAAAACTTGGATGGAAATTGGGTACCACGGTCTGAGATAATAGAGAGGGACACCCCATGCAACCTCACTATCTCTTTCACGTAAACTTTAGCCAATTGTTCAGCATTATAATTTATTCTTATCGGAATAAAATGGGCTGACTTGGTCAACTATCAACCACTACCCAATGGAATCAAACTTTCCCAAAGTCTTGGAAAGACCAACCACAAAATTCATGGCTATTCTTTCCCACTTCCATTCCGAAATTGACATTCTCTGAAGCAAACCTGCAGGCCTTTGATGTTCATACTTCACTTGTTGACAATTTGGACACTTCGCCACAAACTCCGCTATATCCTTCTTCATGCCCGGCCACTAATAAATTCGCTTCAAATCTCGATACATCTTGGTCACACCCGGATGAATTAGAATATCGCGAATCATAAGACTCTACCAACAAGTTCTCAATCAAGTCATCTACTCTAGGAACACATATTCTCCCTTTAAAATTGAGCACACCATCTGCATCAAGAGTGGTCTCGTGTGCCTTACCATTCGCTCCAAATTCTCATCCTCAAATTTTTTGGCCTTGATCTCCTCAATAAATGTGACCCTTACTTCAATACTAGCTAACATCCCACCTCTTTCTGAGATGCCCAATTGCATGAACTTGAACTCTAAGGTCTGAATTTCCTTAGCCAAAGGTCGCTTGGTTACACTTAGGCAAGCTAAACTACCCATACTCACCGCCTTCCGACTCAAAGCGTCTGCCACTACATTAGCCTTACCCGAATGATATTGAATGGTGACATCATAATCTTTAAGTAACTCCATCCACCTTCGCCGTCTCAAATTCAGATCCTTTTGAGTGAACACATGTTGCAAACTACGATGATCAGTAAATACCTCACATTGAACACCATA